TTTATTTTTGTGCCAGCCAATCACACACCCAGCCAGCCAATCACAGACACAGCCAATCACAGACACAGCCAATCACAGACACAGCCAATCACAGACACAGCCAATCACAGACACTTGCGGCCTCATGATCGACACTTGCTTGTAATTTTGAGAACACCATTATTCTAGTAAGGACGTATAGGTGGAAAATTCTGTTTTGCCGAGACAATTTCTGAAACTGGGGGACATAGTTGTACAAGAGAAAATGGTTGGTTTTTGTGTTAACATGTTTCACATGTTAATGGAGCCCCAGTTTTAACCACCTCCGAAAGTACGATGACTATCTACGTACGAGGAATTATATCAGTAGAGGCTCTCATTGTATCCCGTGCATACAGCGCTGACTCAATGGCAGCAGTATGCAGATTGTAGGGATGTCCTTAATTGATATAAATGGCTTGTGAACGACACAGGCGATATGGTAAAGGTGACGAGACGCAAGACAGCTTCTCGATCTCTGAAAGGATTCGACAAAGAGAAATGGACCAATCGCCTGATTCATTCGGTTGAAACTTGCACTAGACGTAAGCAAGGTTTCGTAAATTTCTCTCTGTTTTTCTGGCAGGTCATGCATGCTATAGGACTTATACCCATAGATTCAAATCGGTAGATACTCCGAACTCACCTGTAGGCTAAACTGCAGCCGAGGACTGCGAGCATGTTTTTTCAAAGCCCGCGTTTCCACCCTCAACGACAGGGTGCTCGAGATTGAGACATAATGACTTCCGAAAACGTGAATGCTTGCCTTTGCAACCTTTTGGGCGGTTGTGAGTGACTTCTCAATAGTTCTGCTGGAGCTAAGAAGGCTGGAGGAAGAAAGGAGGGAGATCTCTCGATGCCTCTGGGAGGCTACTACGATCGTAGAAGAAAACACGTGACAAATCCACTGCCCGCGATGCATTGCGCAAAGGTTCCGCGGCGATTATTACGGACGTGGTGGTGGGCGTGTTTCTGAGTAAAACTCTCACTCCCAGAGTCGTAAAGAAAAATAAATAAAAAAGGCCACATTCTTTGACTCTCTGCATCCGTGATCCTTAAAAGGTACATTTCCAAGAAAAAAAAGAAAAAGAAAAAAAACAGCATTTTTTAGGATTCAGCCACGGATTCACGGGGAGGGAAACGAGGGAAATCCCTCCCCACTTAAACTTTTTGATTAACTTAATTTTAACTTGTCATGAGACTTTCAAACAAAAATATTGTCGGATTATCATTAAAACGAATAAAATCGTATCGCAGCAACAGCCGAGTGTAGCCTGCGACATTTTACAATATCTGTAATGTGACATATCTGATGAAAATATTTTGAATTTCCTCTCCCAAAATTGATTTCTGTATACGCTTCTGTAGCATTAAACAACATACTTCATTTTGTAAATACAAGTATGTAAAACGTGTGTATTTACCCCTAAAAATAGGCATCAATGTCGACAAAGGTAGCTAGAAACCACATAGAAACTAAGTACTACACTATTGTGTCTACACGGTTTCGTGAGCCCCGGAATACCTCCCCCCTATTCCTTTACTAACATTAGTTGAATTCCTAATAAATGGTGGGAACGAGCGTTATTGACAAAATCTGTAATCAGAATAATTTGCTCCCATAATAGTAGAAATTATTTTGCATCGTAAAGCGAGCGTCTGATAGAATACTTCTGTCGACAAAATAATCAAAACTCCCTCTTCTCTCGCATCTAGCAAAATTAGGGCTCAAGAAAGAAGGCGCGGAAAATACTACATTCTCAGTACACACTTAAACATTGTTTCTAAAGAATGTCTTATAATAGCAAATTATCCTTACTCGTTTTGTCAAAACATATTTCATCAGTTTTAATCGTAGTGGAGGTTGCCAATAGACTACGTAAATATTCACATGATTTTACTCGAAATTATTCAAACAAATGAAACAGAAGCTCTAGAGGGATCATATAAATACGAATAAATTAAAAACCACTGCAATTGCTACATTGAGTTGCAATGAAATAAGTTCGGGAGTAAAATATGTCAACCCTCAAAATTGTACTTTGTGTTATTAAGTTATGCAAAAAACCAAGACCAAAAGCTGCGCTGTTAGTCACGAGTAGGTGCCTCCCAGTGGAAGTCATTTTTACGAGCTCCTCCTTGTAAATCTTCGAAACCTAACTTTCAAATGCTTCAATCTCAAATGCGTTTTCGTGTGGGTTGACATGTATTTCATCAGGGTCATTCAATCGTTGGAAAAACACAGAATTATATGTTCATTTTGATCGTTCGGACGCTAGCTGTTGACTAGTCTTGCAGATTCCCGCCAAATGATCATTTCCCCTATTCTTTGCGCTGCAAGAAAGTTTCGAAGAAAACCATTTTCATTGGGTTTGACGATATTTATCAAACAGGTTAAAGTTTCAAATAACCAAAAGATACCTCTAGTCAATGTTTAGTAGTTCGCAACTTAAATTCCGATAAAAGGTTTGAAACGCTAAACATGTTTTACAGGCAATAATTTGTTAAAAATGTTGAAAAAACCTTTGCATAAAAAATAATGTAGTTACAAAAATGTTTTAGGAACTTGATTATAAGTCGGGACGTTTGATGAAAGATATAACTCTATTCAAGCATTTGTTACTTACAGAAGTATAGTACTATAGTATATAGAAGGGAAAATACTGGAATCACCTTACCACTACAATCTCTAATTTTTGTTCCAACTTCCGATTTAACGGTTCTTTTGAGCTGTAACTTTGTAGACACGTCAGACGTCAGGATTGTGGTCAATTTGTTATTTTTCAAACGTGGTTGAGATTGGAAAGAGTTGCGAGGAGAGAGGCATGCAATTTTGCACCCGAAAATCGGGATGTCTGTAAGCAACAGTCGGGACATGTTTCATTCACAACTAAATTTGCAACTTTTGAGCTGTAATTTAGCAAACACGTCAGGAGTAGGATCTTGATATGTCGTCCCGGAGTGCACTAAGACAATTTGAGGGTTGTTTTTTTTCCTGGGGGAGAGTGGCAGGCACGAAGACCCTTGTGAAATGTTTAAACTGTTCTGGGAAATTGTTGCAATTTCTTTATCTCGAATTGAGGAAGGTGCACTTATGAATACGTTATTGTTACAATTTTCATTAAAATTGTTTGCAAAGATCAAATTTATTTTCGAATAGGTTTTACAACTACTAATGTCAGGTTTTTTCTCAGTGCAATTTATCTCTCAATATTCGATCTTTAAATTATGCTATTCACTCAAAAAAGTCGATCTGTCGCGCACTCCCGCTAATGTTTTAGTAAGATGGTGATTAACAGATTATACGAACGGAAGTCATAATGCGTGGATAAATTGGAAAAGTAAATAAGGATATTTTCTCAATAAAAAATATAAACAAAACATAGTCAAACTTAAGGCAGCCTTTTGGGACAACCAAAACATTTTACTGATCTTGAATCAAAAACAAAGGATGGTGAAACACGAAAATCTATCATTATTAAAGGTTTCTGACTGAGAAACATTTTTTAATACTAAAGGCATGACATTGGATGCATAGAAACGTATTATGCTTGTCGCAATTATTTTTTTACTTTTAAATACAAACGTCTGTACATATATTTTTAATCAATTACAGAATTTTAAAAAAAATACTACGATAACACTGAACTATACCGCTATTTGCATTACAGAACGTGAACAAAAATAGAAATAAATCCGTTGAATTATATTTCATTCTTTTCTAATTTCTCAGACATTGAAAACTGCATGAACTGTAGTTTACATTTCAATTAAAACACTATTCTTAGAGAAAGAAAAAAAAAGTTAAGTTTATATTTCAATCTGAAAACTTTTCATTTTTTGTTCATACATTATCTTTCCTCCAACAAATGGGACAATACAATGAAAGGACAATTATTATTTAATAGGTTAGGTGTATCACAATCCTATACCGCATTATCTCCGAATAATAAATAAACCGGTGAAGTATCAATTCCACATTGTCACTTATGTCTAAAAGGTTCCTAATATTATTCCACTCACGTGCATAACATCAAGCAACGCTTGCGCAAATTGCAGGAACATAAACAAAATAGGTGTGAATTTGGGTACTCATTGCCTAAGATTTATCACATGCTGCGAAAACATGATTTAAAAACCACAATGTTTACTGCTTAACTAAAATAACTAACCTTTATCTTCAATTATACATGCAAATCTTCATCCATCAATCCTTCTTGCGATAACTGGACCGATACAAATTGAAGAATATGTCAACAATTTACAACTGTCAGTTTTTAGGCACTGCGTTAACGATGGCCCACCCTTTCACGCCACGAAATGAGGTTCGAACGCTTCCAAGGATAAATTCCTGATGCACAAGTACATTTATTATTCGCAAAAAGCAATTATACACCACAAGCTGCCAAGAAGCTCAATTGGGGTTCCACAAACTAACATTCTACAATCCACTACCAGAACGTGGGCAAGCAATTGATGAAAAATAGCTTTTCACACTAAACAACACAAGCGACAGTTGAGTGGCAGCTTACCTAGGTGTCACTCTTCGTCATTAATGGCGGTCGTCTCCTCCCTATCTCCTCGGCGATGCAGTCGCTGCCTGGAAGGAATCGTTCGGAAACGGTACCGCGTCACCATACAATTCAACAAACGTATATTTACACGATGTAAATACATAAATAAAACTCAATTATGAAAGTATCGTTTACAACAAACTTCTAAAATGTCCTATGTATTTTCATAATGCGGCAACAAGAATCAAACAAAACTTCGAACTCCGAAAATCTCCCAAGTAACCACTTTGAAGGTCGTCCCCCTCTCCAGCACTGGCCCGGAGGGATGAACAATGTTTTACACCCAAATCGGTTAGTTTCGTTGAAATTTGTTACCAAGCGTCGAAAGAAAATGTCCCTTGAATGAATTTTCCTTGCATATAACATAGAAAGCCGAAATTAAACCCACTACCGCCCAGCTCACGCTAGTAGGCACAAAAACATTTGGATACGCCCACTATGACGTATACCTCGAGTTTCGCGTTCCGGTCCAATCCCCGCATTCCTTCAGTTAATACCACCTCCTCTGACTTCAGATTCACTTCCTATATTTGCCGCGAGTGGCGCTGCCTTTCAGCGCGTCTGTTGAACTTCGTTTGTTAATATTGCCAACTAGGTACTTTCAATATCTCTATTTATTAGATTAAGTACTTACTCTAAAATGTAATTTTTGATTTTATTGAATACGTGTCTTAAATGTACAAGTTTTTCATCACATTGGATAATCATCAGGTATATTTTGAAGTATTGGAAACTTCTTCGCTATTAATTCATGAAAATTTCTTCGCAATGTTTTAACAAAATTTTCAGTTAAGTAACTAATTGATAGTTTATTGTTTAAAAAGTATATTCATATTCTGTTATAATAAGGCTTACTATTTGACATCACTTTCTTTATTAAAAATTATTTCAGTAGTAAAATGATGAAATTGTTGGCTATACTGCTTGGCTTGGTCCACCTCGGGAGGAGGAGCGAACCGGAGCGAACAGGGGACCGTTCAGGTTATGTAGTGAACGTTTTGATTAAAAAAATGAACCCCGCTGCGATTCCAGTACCCGTTGAGGATGTACAAGGAGATGGAAGGTGGCTCAGCATGGTAAATGTGAAGTTGATGATTGTTATCTTAATTCCTTAAAATATGTAATATGATTCGTGATAATTTACAATACCAATTTATTTTAGCATAAACGGTTTTTGTTGGAGGCAAAAGAGAAAGAACCAGAAGTTATTTTCATTGGAGACTCGATCATACAACAGATGTCAAACTGTGAAATTTGGAGTAAATATTTTGTTCCAATGCATGCTCTAAATTTCGGGATATCCGGCGACCAGACGCAGCACGTATTGTGGAGAATTGAAAATGGAGAGCTGGAACATGTTAATCCAAAGGTACTTTGTCGCTGAGTAAACAAAACATGAAATTATCATTTCACAATATTTTAATTTTGTAATTATTCTTTTATATTATATTAGTGCATTAATTTCCTTGACGCAGGTAATAGTTGTCCTTGTGGGAACAAACAATTTTGACTTTTCTCCAGAGGAAATTACTGAGGGGATATTGGAAATTGTGAGAGTTATACGTGAAAAACAGCCCCAAGCATACATTGTACTGCCTGTAAGTAATATTAAGTTGTGTATTGAGTATAACATGTAAGGAATAAATATATCAAACTTGTAATGTTTTACAGACATTGCTACCTCGAGGGCAGAATCCAAATCCTTTGCGAGAGAGAAATAGCAAAGTGAATAAATTGGTCAGTGAGCGAGTCACCAGTGATTCTCGTTGTGAAGTAGTAGCCATAGACAAAGGTTTTGTTCTTGCAGATGGGACTATCAGTCACCACGATATGTTTGATTACCTTCATCTAACCAATTTGGGTTATCAGAAAGCCTTTGAACCTGTATATGAATTGTTGCTTCAACTGCTGAGTGAGGGAGAAAAAGAAGATGATGCCAATACTATTTCTGAATGAAATGTATCCTCTTGCCAATTCCCAATCAATCGATCAGTGTCACAGCTTCACTTTAAAATACACTCTTGACTGCCATGTTATAAAAATCATCAAATGTTTCTACACTTATAACAAAAATTTTCTTGTTTACTTGAAGTATATAGGATGCTGGTTAATAGTTTTACTCACTGCTAAAATCTGATCCCTTAAACACTTTTTAAATGATCTAGAAGTTTGATGAGAGTAATATTGTTAATGCATTTCTTAGGTTTACACTGCAATGGCATTAATTCATGTAGATATTATTGTATGTTGTATTGATATTTGTTATTCCTTATTTCTTCATGAAGTAATTTGTTAGTCTAGTCTGTTTATTCAGTTTGATAAGTTTTTATTTGGAAGTTATTGGATGAAGTTCTAGGTTACACACTTTGGAGATTGTGTTCCTAAGAAAGATAATACTGTATTGGAGGATACTGTATGATACAAGCTTGTTACTGAAACAATGCTGAAATAAGTTTGACCAGTGGGTTTAACATTACTGGTAGAATTATTATTAATATGAAGTTGAGATGTAGAATATGAATACTCTACGATTTCTTGTATTGCTTGAAGCACAGAACTGTCCCAGAGAATAGGATTTTAAAAAGACTGGTCTTCTATTTCTTTGTCCTAATGTTTCTTTATTCAGTTTAAAATTAAATGCTGTTGTGAGGAATCAGCTTGACCAAGGCAACGAGACTGAAATACTAGAATACGAATGAGTGTTATCATTGAGCATGTCCATTTCCAAGAGTGGTAAGCTACTATCAGTGAAAATTGTACTTAACGTTTGACATGTCATTATGTTATGTGAAACACTACTTTTAAATATGGCAAGCTCATTGTGGATCTGCAGGTTTCAAAGCTGCAAGAAGAGTTTGATTTAGTGTTCATACATTTTAAGAAGTTTTTGAAAGGAATGTTAAAATAAATAGGTTACCATTGAACATTGTGATGAAATGAATGTGAGTATTGGCATAAATCATTTCTAGAATTGCCATAAGTTTATAGCTTGAAAAATTTTGCTTTCTATTACTTACTGTAAATCAGGTCCAAATAATGGTTTTATCAGTCACATGAGCATGTTCTAAATTGTTCAGTGATATAGTTGCCTTGCCGATGCCGAATCAAAATTGGATGAATATCAGGTGAATGCAAGATGAAACACATTCCACAGAATTGTTAATTTTGAAGCATTTTGCTCAATGCACTGTTAGATTTGTACACAAAAGAAGCCTTGATGTTTTATTGTAATTCAGATATTCAAGGTAACATCCTAAGATTTTCTAGTTGCATTTTAAGTATGAATGAAATATATTATTGTATGATAAATGTGTAGGAGGATTTCATTGCCATTTTCAGATTCTCATCTACCTAGGCTACTGGATAAGTCACAATGACTTGTGCTTGGTCACTGCTGAGTGAATTTACTTTTGTATGGATTTTTTTTGCCATTTTAAACTTATTTATGTAAATACATTATTTTTCTTCATGTTTATAATCATTTTCTTGCCAATTTCCTTGTTTAATCGTCCTGTCTTTAATTTTAAAAGTAATCCATACATTTCTTGAAAAATTTAAACTGAAGATCATTGAAATAGATTCCAGCGTATTATTGTAGTGGAAAAGTACATAACAAAGATTGAATTTTCAGGTTTATATAAAAATTAAATTAATATTGTCTCATGAGAGCCACTTCAAGAACTACCATTTTCTTATTGGAAACCAATGTAATTTTGTGTTACTGTCAGTCTTTCATTTGTAGAGGATATCTAATGGCATTGTAAAAGGGAATGGAATTTCATGTAAATTCACGTTCTTGCTGGTCAAGAAACCATCATTTAATATTTTTTTAGTTTGCATGATATTCTCAATAAATTAAAACCATTTTTAATTTACATATGTTTGTATGGTTTGGTATTATTACATCTTTTACCAATGACTATAGGGGTCGCCATTAATTACCCAACGCTAGAAGGGGGGGTCGTAGTTTAGTGTAATGTAATGCTGATTTTTTTAATGATTCAATATTTCTTGAAAGAGTGCCATTAATTCGTTTTCTACTGAAATATTAATAAATTAAAGTTATATATAAATAGTTATAATGAATGAAAATATTATTTCGTCAATGCTATGATTGAATCTGTTAGGTTACGTATCAAATGTTCAAAATTGCTTTCTGAAATCGAATTAAAAGGGCACATTAGTCTCGGAACCCTAGCATTCTCGACGTCACAATACAGACGTCACTGGTGGCGTTTAAGACCCCGATTGGATACTGTAACAGGTGATGTACGTCAAGCGCCACTGCAAATAAATCGAAGTGTAAAACATTTTCGAGTCTGTCGAACACTAAATTAGCAACGAATGTTATACGGATGTAATGACCACAAGGGAATGGATGGGAAAACGATATGACCAAATATTTTCGGTTGCAAGGTTTGCGGTGCATGGATTTCACAGTAAATCGTGCAAAATTAAAAGTTTCCACAAACCAAACAATCGGCGTATGTGTGAATGGTGCGAGGAATTATGTAAGAGGTATTATCCGCGCAGGTTTTCTTGAGCCTTCAATTAGATGCAAGAGGATTAGGAAGGTTGGTAATTTCGTCAACAGAATTATTACACCAAATCTGTACTTCATTTTACGATGCAACATCATTTCTATTACACGAAAGCGATCATTTCTGTTAATCACATATTGCCAACATTTATTCTTCATTCAAGTAATATTAGCGTGTGTGGATAACGTGCCTTACCATGTGGGAAAAGGAACACACCCATCTCCAAACTCGCGGTATATACGGTAGTAAATGCGATAAAGGCTACCAGAAGTGATGAATTGTGAAAGTGTAACATTTTGACTTCATTATTATTATTATTATGAATAATAATAATAAATCTAAAATGAACGGTTTGACGAAACAATAACTGTCTCGGGATACTTAATTGACTTTTATTTTTTGAGTTAAAAGCTTAAATAATAACAGGGACGATTCCAAATCTCATAAACCACTATCTGAATAACCCTGAAGAAATGTCGCACTTGCTGTGTGAAGGTGTCACATATACGAAGCCAAAAACCAGTAATACTACAGATCCTACGAAATATAGACCAATCACTTGTCTCAATTCTTTCTACAAAGTCATCATAAGTTGTTTATCAATGGTTATCGAGAAACACTGTGTAGCAAATTCTATCATAGCCGAAGGTCAGAAGGGATGTAGCAAGGTCTCCCTTGGATGTAAGGTGCAACTCATCATTGATAGTGTGGTCATGTCTCAAGCATGTAAGAAGAAACGCTACTTGTTCACCTGTTTCATTGGTTATAGAAAGGCCTATGACATGGTTCCGCATGATTGGCTCCTCTATGTGCTGTCGCTATATCGTGTGAACTCGACAATCGTAAATTTCCTGAAATCCATCATCCAACTATTCGCGTCACTTCAAAAAATGAAACAATGGTTTCCAATGAAATAAATATAAAGCGCGGATTCTGTCAAGGAGATAGCCTGAGCCCTTACTGGTTCTGCTTGGCAATGAACCCGTTATCGACACTCCTAGAAGACCTGAAATTAGGTTTCGAACTGAGAGGCACTGAAAGATTGCAGATAGCCCATTCAGCGTATATGGCGTACGACATCAAACTCTAGTCTGGTACGAGGCGTGGCTTAAACATTCAGATGAAAGCTACTGAAGACTTCAGTAGCAGAGTTCATCTCCAGGGACATAAATATGCAACTAGGCATTGATAAATGTAAAATACAACAAATACAGAAGGGTAAACTCACTAGCGAGCTCACATACGAGACTGCTGATAGAGAAACAATCGCTGCTCTGGAAGCTGATGAGCTCTACAAATACCTTGGGATTCAGCAAGGAAATATGATTGCACATCGACTGAAGGGGATACTTAAAACAGCTTACCAACCGGCTCAAGTCAGTGTTAAAAACTTCCCTCAACTCTCGAAACCTCACGGCTACCATTAACTCGTATGCTATACCCATTATCACCTTCTCGATGGGAATTCTTAAATGATCCACAATCGACCTAGAGGAATTGGAGAGACTTGTAAGAGTTCAAATGACACGCATCGGTTGTCACCATCCTAAAAGTGCGATACAGAGGGTCACACTGCCTCGACAAATGGGAAGGCGTGGTATTGTGAAGTTCGCGAATCTCCATGCCAAACAGATAATAGCCATGAGGAAGTATTTTGCAGAAAAGGCAGGCACTTCTCTACTCCACAAGGTACTTGTGCAGGCAGATGACAATTACACGCCCCTCAATCTAAAACAAGATACGCAAGTTCATCCGCTCTTTTTGCAGCAAGAGATCGATTCCTGGAAACAGAAAGCACTCCTCGGTACATATCCTGCTGCAGTAGCCAATCCAAATGTCGACCAAGAAATGTACAACTGGCTCAGTATAGGATATGTGTACCCTGAGAGCAAAGGTTTCATGATAGCAATGCAAGATCAGGTGATTCCCACAAAGAATTACCTAAAATATATCATCAAAGACCCAGGAGTACTAACTGATGAATGTCGCATGTGTGGTCGATATCATGAAAACATCCAGCGTATTATATCAGGCTGTAGCTGTTTAGCTCCCACTGACTATAAAGTGAGACACGATCAAGTGAGCCACATCATCCATTCCAAACTAGCTAAAAAACAGGCTACCTCAGAAAGTGGATGCACCTACTACCAGTATCATCCAGAAGCAGTACTAGAAAATGAGACACATAAGTTATAATGAGACCGCAGTATTCTGACAGACAGGACAATTCAGCACAACAGACCTGATATTACTCTTTGGGACAAATCTGCAAAGAAAGTTTGGTTTATTGATGTTGCAGTCATCAATACCAGCAAGATGATGACAACATACCAGAATAAAATTGACAAATACAGAGAAATAGCATTTGCCGTAAAAGAACAATGGCGAGTGTCAGAAGTGAAAACTATCCCAATTGTACTATCAGCAACTGGCATGATACCAAAAACTCTCTGCAGATCGCTGGAAGAACTCTGCTTGGAGAAGAGCATTATCATCGGCCTCCAGAAGTCGGTTATAATCAGCACCTGCTCAGTAGTCAGGAGATTCATGGGAGGACATGTTGGGTCTTGAAAGCTCATTCTTGAAATTGCATTAGTTATTAGCATTTGAAAACTGTTATTTTATGTTTACAATCTGAAAACAGTTATTTGATGTTTATGTGTTAGAATGCCTTAATTTGTTTTGTAGATTTTAAATGTCTGTGTTACCATGCTTTGATATTGTATCTGTGTGGTATCCATGTGAAGCCAAAAGCTTTGAGAATAAACAATATAATAATAACAATAATAATAATGATGATGATTATGATAATTAGCTACAGTGTGAGCGACCAACACATTTTCCTACGGAGAGCGATACTTCGCTATGGCTTTCCAAGTTTGAAATGAGACCCGTGCCTTCGGCTAGGGTCTAATACTTTGGTTTTTATTTCTTGGCGCGTGAGGGCCTGTCTTCACAATCGAATAGCTCACGGCATTTCGTGTCTTTCTCGGTCGCGCCGCTAGATATCGCATGATCGCCAGCACTGCTCGATGCCCTCGCCTACTGCTGACATTCTTCTGGGATTGGATGTAACTGAAAGGCATGGAAGGTGCTTCGTCGAGGGTAAATGTTCTTTCTTCTGTGATTTGTAAAGAGCTATTAGGTGCGACACGTCTCACTCCGGACGTGCTTAAAAAACATCATGGCAATAATTGGAGAGCAACTGCGCATGAAGTGGCATAGTTCGCGGGACGGATTCGATGTAACTGTGTGCGATTCTCAAAGGTGTTGCTTTAAGGCGCCGAATAATGTAAGGATTTACGCGTAAAAAGATAAATCTTCTCCCGGGCGACGCGTGGGCGCCGGCTGGTGGCGGAGTGGCTCTCGGCACGTGGACGGATATTCAGCAAGCTCTTTGACTTGAAGTGGGTGTCCTTTTCTAGAAGCAACGCGAGGGCCGCGGGAGCACAACCTTCTGCCTTACAAAAGCTCCGTTTTATGAAAAGAACGCGCTTCAAAAAATATCGCAGGCGATGCCAGGACCTGTACGTACCAATATATATAACAAAGTCGGATTATTAGCATTATTAGAAATAATGCTAATATACACTTGGGTTTTTAAAACTTGGTACTTGACGTAAATCAGCAGCTACGTCATCTAATCGGGAGCTTAAACGTCATCATAGTGACGTCACTGGTGACGTTTCAGCGGATGAAGCTTTCAACAGCTGATTTACGGGAAGTGCTTAGTTAAAAAAATTAAGTATAATCCAAACCCAACCAACACAAAAGAAGAGCCTGCGGTGGATATCTGCGTTTATACTTGCATTTTTGTAAGGTGGCGCGCGAAGGCCTGACTTCACGGTGAATAGCTCACTGCATTGCGCGTCTTTCTCGGTCATGCCGCTAGATAATGCATGATCGTAACTGTACAGCTTGCGATCGTGAAATATCTAGCGGCACGACTGAAAAGACCACGATCTCGCCATAGGGCGACGTATTGAGCGAGCAGCGCCCGTGCATTGAAGATCGCGCTATCACGCTTGCTACTCTTATTGAGCCAGCAGCGTACCGGAAGCTCTTTAAGTATTCACCTCAGTTCTAATAACTTTTCTAAACAGCTTAAGCTATCGAGCGGAGGCGTCTCTCACTTGACAACAACCCAAGGAGTCTATTTCGTAGAATCCTTGCGGAAAGCAACCGACGCTTCTGGGAGCAGATCAAACTACTTCTGGAGGAGGCGCGGATCCAGCCACTGCCGCCGTCTGACGCGGAGATGTCAGTTGAAGAATTGGCCGATGCGGGAAACTCCAACGCCAACGATGAAGTATCCCGACAAGCGCAGCGCAAACTCCGACGCTCTCTTGGCTCCTCCCCCGACTCCTCGCCTGACCAACCAAAGTTTTCTTGA